TAGAGGAAATGATTGCATGGGTTATGTGTTTTTCGGTTCAAGAGTCGAGACAATGCACAAGGATCCAAGAAAAGACCCAAACAAAAATGAAAAACAGTAAAAGTGGAAGTTGTGTCATGACTTATGTGTGAAGCCCACTTCTAATGGTTCACAATTTTTTTTTTTTTTAGAGGTATCTAAATATTGTTTCGTTTGATCAAAAAAAAAAAAATATTGTTTCGTTAGACCACGTTGGAAATCAATTTGAAAACTGAAACATTTAGATTCCATCTTTGATTCCTATACTTTTCTATATTCGAAAAACAATAACTAAAATACTCAAATGATTGTGGCGTGATGATAAAAAATTTAAATGCATGGCGTTGACTTGTTTTTTTCCTAGTTTGGTTTCGAGTTAGAACATCTTTGATTATTTTACTTTGGTTAGATGAAACTTGTGCTATGTTTAACGTCTGTTCACAAATTTGGTAATTGCACTATCTATCGCTACATTCATTCAAAGGTTTATCGGTTTCGATCGGGATTAAAAAGAAAAGAGAGATGCAATGGTAAACGAAAACATACTGTAGAACCAGACCCGACTCACTACAAAATACAAAACAGGACCGTGAGCAAACATTTTTTTTTTACCTCTATATAACAGAAACTATAAAACATACCCTATTTTCAAAAAAAAAATATACCAAAAATTTCGGATTTTTACTCAAAATTTTTGGTCTGATTTTTTTAAAACAAATGGATCCTATGCAAATGCACTACTTGCACATGCATAATGCTGGGGCCTGTGTAGAACTATACAAAATTTGTTAAGCGTAATTTCAAATGAAAATTTTCAAACCGAAATATACCAAATTTGTTAAGCGTAATTTCAAATGGAAAATTTCAAACCGAATTATATGCATTTTAGAAAACAATTTGACTAAAATGCATTTTAAAAATTATTTTAATTGTTGAACTTATCTTTTTACGCTACCACAACATTTACTAATTGAAACTTATCTAAACTATAAAGTAAACTTAGCCGGAATATGTTTTCTTTGTCTTAAAATTTTTAAATTTAATTAATACCGTTTTGACATATTTGGTTACCATTTTAGCTACCATTATCATAGAGAAATATTTTAAAAAGGGGTAATGATGTGGGTTAACGACTTCAATGACTATACTTAAAACAAAAAACAAACAAATGGAACATGTCATTCTCCTGGACCGACCACGATAACAATGTTGAAGTCTCTATCTTAAATTTTGTCCTTATTGTTAAATAGTTACGTCAGAAAACGAATTCGCTGAAGATTCATACGCAGACAAATATTAACAAAATAATTTACGGGAAAAGTATATCTATTTTATTTTTTATTTTTCTTAAAAGCTTTTTATTAGCCTTTTACTTAAGTTTAACTCTTTATATAGCCATTTATAAAAAAAAAAGTTTCAAAATATACTTTAAAATCAATCGTAATATACTCTATTTCAAGATGGGAGGAAGAAACCATAAGGATTATTCCCCGAAAAGTGTTACTACCGTGAAGAGTTTTTTAATTGGCCTTTGATGAGGCTTTTTACTGATCTCGTTCGTAATTGGACCTCTTGATTTTATATTTCACCATTTCTTAAACCATGATTTTTGGCAATCAAAAACTAGAATAAGATGTCTTTAACTTTCCGTTGTAAAGTAGATTTTCGATTTTTGGCAATCGGAAACTAGAATAAGTTGTACTCAACTTTCTGATTAAAAGTTGGATTTTGGATTTTTGGCAATGTTCACAAAAAAACCATTGTTCTAGTTTCCGAATATAATAACTTGCTTGAAAAGAACGTAAATAACACAGTTTTTTAACAAATTTTCCGAATGGTACGTTTCGTGAGGAATTTTTTTGTCTTCAAATTCCACTAGAAATCAAAATTTACGAAAGATTTTTTTTTGGTTTGCCTTCTGTAACTTCAAAAATATGTTGTAATCGCACAGTACAAATTTGATAGTTCACTTTGATCATACATTAGTTATTTTAATATTTATTTACCGTTTACAAATATGAACTTTTTCTCTATGATTTTTTTTTGTCAAACATACGTAGTTATATAGATGCTTACTCTCCACTAAAGGAAGACTTGTTTACAAATGATGATAACAAAGCCATCAAGACTACTAAAATCGCTGCTACAAAAGTCAAGCGAAGGTACAAACAGAGGATAGAAGCCATCATTATACATAAGCAGCAAAAGTCGTAGAGAAGTCCTCGTATCTCAACAACATAGGGCCTAAGCAGTGGAATGACGCTGTGGGAGATTAAGAACACAATTTGTAGACTAACACCCGTGATTGATACCGCAACTAGTGCGGGTTTAACAATCTTGAAATCGGCTGCACTAATTAGTGTTGGACCTTTAATAAATACAGAGAGTGAGTCATATGTATCAAAATGTTCAGGTTTGTTGTTTGATTATATGGGCCAATCCCAAGATAAAAAGCCTATGGAAGAAAGCAAACTATTCCTCTAACGTAATCAGCGACAATGGCAAAGCTTTCCCAATGAAGAAACCACAAGACCAAACAAAAAATCTAAAAACAATTTTTTTAATGAAGAATAATAGAGCAAATTGTGTTTAATTTTGTCATTTAATTTTAATTTTGTTAAAAAATAAAAAAAAAACTACTAACATCAAAACTTCAACTTGGTTCTCCACATTTCTCCAATAACTTTCCCAGGCAGTGGATTGTCCGGTCCTCTATCGCGTTGCCCTGACGTGAAGTACAAATAACCATTCCAGAATCCGGCCAACGCAGTTTTGACACGGTACGGTAACCGTCCGATCACAGACCATGCCTGAGAAAACTTTACACACAGTAAGAGATTGAACATAACAACTACTAAGAGAAGCATCATAATACTGACCAAAGTGTCTAGCTGAAACCGGAAAATCTCTCCAACTAGAACAAGCCTTTTCGTCACTGGATGCCAATCCGTGGTTCCACCGACAATAATGATCGAGTTATTGACGATGACCCACGCGGATTCAATGTGAGAATTGTTCTTTGGCATTGGTGGTAACATTTTCCACTTCATCTCCTCGTCCATCATGTACACCTCGCCATTGAAGATCTGAAATGCGATCAAACATAAGAACATTTCCGTTTTATCAGTTTTATTAGTTTTGAGAAATGTAACTAAAGCCCAACATTTTTCGGTTCGTTTAGTATGCTCAACCTTATTAGAATGAATCAGAACTGTGAATAGAAAAGGAGAGCTAACCTCGCGTCTACGTGAGCACTTGAAGATGGGTGAGTTAGGTTTCGCCATGAAGTCACCTTCTTGACCGCCAATCACAAGTAGTTTGTCGTTAGCAACTACACAAGCCCTACAAACCGTAAACCGCAATGTCAGCGAC